ATAAATATCTCCTTATTCTTCCTCGTATGACCCACATTTCTCCAAATCCCTCTAAATTCTGTTCCTGCACACACAAGGGCACAAGAATAACCTCATCTACGTTTGAACTCACATCAGACCTGCTTCTCTATGTGACATCAAGCAGAACTTTATGGCATCATATTGCTGTGAAAGCTGAAGGAAGGGAGAATGAAGCTGGGGAGGATGTGGGGGCTGGGGGCAGGGGAAGGCAGAACTCACCCCCTGAGTTCAAATGTTTTCTAGGGCTGAGCACATTCACTCCCTGATTGCTACATGTGCTGGAGCCTCTCTGGGTCCCTGTGGGCTTAGAACTGGAGTTACCTGAGCAGATGGACTTCAGGGTGATGCCCAGTGCTGGCTGGGGCAGGCAGGTGTGTCAGTGGTGCCCCAGCAGACACCCCAGCTTCTCTGGGAAGCCACAAGTCCCCTGGCTGCCTGTCTCGTCCCAGCTCATGGCTGCGATTCTGGACAAGATCAGGCACCATTTACTTCTTGTGTTGACAGCTGAGATTGTTTTTTTCCTGCCTGTGAAAATTTCAACTTCTGTTCCCTCAAAAGATAACTCTGCCAATACGTAGTGTTCTTGAAATGGCAGCTGACTGCTGCTGTTTGTAGTGAGCTTCTGTGATGTGTCCATCCTCTTGCAAGCCTTTATTCTTACTACAGCTCTGTTTCTTGGACTCACCACCTACACCCTGCATTTAAAGAGACTCCAGCAGATGTGGGGCAGAGTTTGTTTGTTGTCATACTGATATTTGGGGTTTGTTTTGTTGTTAGCTTTTTCTTTTTTAGAATAAGCTTTGCAGGTGCGATAATGAACACAGGTCAGCGGGACCTGCTAAAAGGGACTGGTGAGATAATAATAAATTGTTATTTATTGTTAATAATAAATTATTAATTGATGCAGTTCAGCTTTCTTGGGGAGAAGTTCCTTTCTGTGATTATGATTATGCACGTGCCCGTTCGAACACCGAGCAGGCCGTGCGGAAAGCAGAGCCCGAAGCCGCCCCTGTCCTGCCCGCGGCCCGAGGCTGTGTGCCCTGCAGGGCAGGTGACAGGAGGGCTGCAAGAGGCTGCTGCGGGGACAGCGGGGACAGCG